TTGATACAAACCGCCAACAGGAGGATGACTGTAGTAGCTTATTGCTTCGTTTAGAGTATCCTAAACCGTACAATTATTAATAAAGGTTAACTACTGGCCTCAATCGTGGCTGGCATTGGATTAGCGATAAAATGCTTAAAACGAAAAACAATARTTTATATCCCATGAATCTAGGGCAGAAAAAGTGTTAACTGGCCACCCAGGTCGCCCTTCTTTCAAGGTTTCTGAAGATCAACGTCTCTCACCTTGTAGAAAGTGGGTTTTATGTGCCGCAAATAAAGTCTTTTGCTAGGAGTGTCYATCACCATAGAAAGGAGAATGTCTCATTTTGGCAATAGGATATCAGGATAAAAAAATCTAAGAATTGTATATTCCACGTAGAAAGATTAGTTTTTAAATTTTATTGCGTTTATACACCTATTCCAATAAACGTTGTCTGGGCCTAAAGCAAGAAGCTGACGGCCGCAGTGAATGCTAGATAGTCCCAGTGTAATCATAGTACTTATTTATACGGAACAAATTAAAGACATGAACATTTCCACATGCGGTTTAGATACGGTTTAGATACACTCAATTTTGGCGGGGATGGAACGCCATACATGGGGCCTTCTTAAGTATCTTCATTGATGGGTTGCAAGCATATTCCCAAGAGAGTCAAAAGACAAAAATATGTCGGCCATTGTGTTGCCGTTAACATATGGATGCTAATGAGAAATCTTTTGTCAAATGGCACCAACAAGGCCGCGATGACATAACGTGCAAACGAAGAATAAGTGGTTCTTCTGATCTTCTTGTTTAGTTTCTTGTTTTTTGATTATTATCATTTTAAGCTGAGCCAAGAATTTTCTATCGCACATCACGACTGTCCTGCAAGCAAGGTGATTCCATCAAATATACGAGCAAGTCCATGCAAAAATGTTTAAAAACGTGATAAGGAAAGACCTTCAGAGCTACAGGCCGGCCTCAAACTTGCTTTTGAACGAGAAAATCACCCAGATGTTGTCGGAAGGACGACGTGTCTATCACTTCGCCTTTGGACAGTCACCTTTCCCTGTAATGGCTGAAGCCCGTGCTGCTCTTGAACGCCATTCCGGCGAAAATTCCTACTTACCTGTGGCGGGAATCAGGCCATTAAGAGAATCAATTTGTAATTTTCACAAAGAATTCGATAAACTAGACAATCTGAATCCAGATAACGTCATAGTTGGTCCTGGCTCGAAGGAGCTTCTGTTTCTTGTAGAGAATGTCTTTCAGGGAGACGYGTTTGTCTTGTATCCTACGTGGATCACTTATTCACCTCAGTGCCTTTTGTCTCATCACCAACCGGTTTTGATTCGTACCAAGTTTGAAGATAGCTGGAGAGTGACTCCTAATGGCCTCGAGAAGGTACTGAATGAATCAAAAAGCGAAAATAGATTACTTGTATTGTGCAATCCTGATAACCCTACTGGTACTTCGTACAGCGCTGAACATCTAAAAGCCTTGACCGAAGTGTTCAGAAAATACAAAGTCGTGGTTGTATCTGATGAAATTTATGGTAGAYTGAATTATACAGAAGACCATGAATGCCTTGCAAAATATTATCCTGAAGGCACCATTGTTTCGACTGGATTGTCCAAGTGGGCTAGTGCAGGGGGATGGCGACTTGGCTACCACATATACCCAGAAACATTAAGGGATCTATACATTGCTGTTCAAAGTGCAGCCAGCCATACATACTCAACCGCTTCAGCTCCAGTTCAATATGCTGCTGTATCTTATTTAAATCTATCAAAGGAGTCTGTCACTTACATGCGAAATACCAGAAGAACCATGTCGGCAGTGGCGGAATACTGCTACAAGGAGCTTATCCAGGTTGGAGTCAAGGTTGTCAAGCCAAAAGGAGGGTTTTATATGTACCCCGACTTTGAAATTATAAGGCTAAGTCTACGTAAGAGAGGGATTGAGACTTGTCAACAAATGTGCGATGCTATGTTCAAGGAAGCTTTGATCGTTCTAATGCCTTGGGACACAACAGACCATGAAGGAAATGAAAGATTGACTGTACGTTTGTGTTTTGTGAATTTTAATGGTGAGAAGGCCCTTAAAGCCTGTTACGATGTCATGGAGGGTGGTGGTGTCGACTTGGGGGATTCATTTGTAATGAAACACTGCAAGGAAACTGTGGATGGTATGACTATGCTATGCAACTGGGTAAAAGAACAAATGAAAACTAAGTCAGGAAACTGATTACATCTTGGACATTTCTGGACAACTATAGCTGGGTTCCGATAAGACTTTCACAAAGCCACTGCCATTTGTGTATCATGACTGACTCCCTCATTCACTGTCTGCCGTGCTCCCTTGGTCGTTACGTTGTTGTTGTCACAAAACAACTCGTTCGCATCTCAGAAGTTTTGACTTATTCGTAACGTTTCTCTTTCTTTGATCACCTTCATACTTTATGAAAAAATTATTAACGATAAAAGATTTGTTTTTGAAATAAAGATATTGATAAGTAAGCAAATRCTTTTTTATGGAATCTGATAGTTTACCACTTTCACTTTGACAAGGCGTTAAAATACGCTGTTGTTGTCACACAACAACTCGTTCCCATCTCGGAAGTTATTGACTCATTCGTATTAACGTTTTCTCTTACTTTACTCGACGGCAGTCGCTTTGTTTTACTTTTTTTAATATATTTACTGTGTCACACTTGTTTAAGATAGGCTTCACGACTTTTCTTATGAGTAGGCGAACTTTTTTAAAGATTTTTTCATGAGTTTGATAGGTAGCATCTGATAGTTTGCCTTTTTGCTGTTGTTGTCACACTTCTGAAGTACTTGACTCATTCGTATTATAACGTTTCTCTCGCTTATATCGTCTTCGTACTTAATAAACTTTCTTAGAGGTAAAAGTTGTGTTCTTTTAATGAAGCCTTTGGTAAGCAGAGCAGATGAAATCTTAGTAACACTCTTGTTGTCWCTCAACACTTTACTACTCGCGATTTTTCTGTTGATTAGTTTGCCTTGAGATTTTCATGAACTTTCTTGAAGACAAAGATGTGTCTGCTTTTTTGACCATTAAAGTTTTCCTCTTTTTTCATCTAATGCTTATACTTATGAATCAGTGCCATTGTAATACGTAGCGAACTTCAGTAGGGAAAACTTATACGTAGGCAAACTTCAGTAGGCGAACCAATGCGTAAGCGAAACAATCGGATACCATTCCTGCTCATCTCCCACCCCACAGCCCCCCATCCCCCAACCCCACTACACCATTTTGGGCCACTTTGGGCCACTGCACATTCTATTTCAACCAGAAAAAATTGATTCAATAACAAGAAAGTGCTATTTTAAAGTGTACCTAGCCCCTAATGTTGTGAATGGTTGAATATTTCTTCATTTGGGTGTTAACTCTTTAAATTGTAAAGGTTTGTACTTCTCAAAAGTTAATAATAGTAACATCACATAAGGCTTCATTAAATGAACAAATTTTAACTGGTTGACACAAACTGRACAACATCTTTCTTCTGTTCTTTCATGTTCGTTCAATAAAAAATGTAAATAGCGATTGACCCAAAAAGGTATGGAGTCATGTTTATACAAAACTTACTTTTGAGTCAACAACCCCTAAAAGATGCTAAGAGGGCTGCCAATCACTCCTACCACTTGGACAAAGGAAGACAACACACCCCAGAAGGTGTTCTATCTTTCGGTTCATTTTGGCACAAATTTTTGGTTTAAGGGGGCTAGCAGTCACACTTCCTTTTGTTGAAGTCCTCAATTGTATGTTAACTAGGTGCATCTGATTTTTAATTGGCCAAAACGAGACTGCATAACTTCCAGGCAGGTTACAGGTAAAACAAGCTTCTTGGGCTCTCTCTGGTTTTTCGAGTCACGTGATAAATGAAGGCATACAGGGATCCCATTAAACATATATTACATTAGAAGCAGCCTGTTTAAAGACATGTGAAAGCTTTTTTTACTTCTTGTATACGACATTTAAGATATAAGAGTAGTCTAATTAGAAAATCTTTTTGTTTGGATTCGGATTAAAGCGATGGAACCTTCAGGAATTCCAACCAAAGAGCAAGAAAAAGTATAAATCTTCATTCCGTTATCGTCGTTAATCGTTGTTTCACACTTCCTTAGCGAGTTGAAGGGGCTTAGGTTTCTATGAATGGAATTTAATGTTTTATGAAGTCATTTTGAAGCTCCATATAGATTTAAAACTTATTTTCTTTAAATGGAATGATCGGAAATGTCTGACTTCAGCTTATGATGTTTTGGTAATATTTGACTTTGTATTGTATACTTTGTATTATATCACAGTCTATGAAGGCAATGAGGACCTGCCAACGTATTGGTGGATGGTATGGATTATGGTCTACTGTCCTAGGTATATGCTATTGATATTACACGATGCCCTTATAGAGTGTGTGACTCCAAATCCCTTGAGATATGAATAACAATGAAACAGCCGCCATGTTGGTTGATCTAACAAGATCGAGTAGCTTACGAGGAATTGCTTTGTTATCGTCAACCAAGATGGCGGCAATGACGTAACATGCACTTGCTCYATAGTAGGAAATTTGATGTGGCTGCCATCTTGCCGTAAAATACATTAAACATATGTACTATTTAGGGTGGAAATTAAACTTATATCAGTTTTTCTGGGGGTGGGTTAAAATTTCAAATTCCCCTGGTATCGTCCCACACTCTACCCTAGGGCTTAACATTGATTGGTGTATAACGTTATACAAAAATAAACCCCTTGAAGTGAATGCCTAGATCTGAATATTAATAACAAAATGTTTTCAGTACCTCAAACGAAGGAAATTATTTTGACCCCTAGATTTGGAAGTTTTTATTTACTAGTCAACTGAAAATTACCATCCCAAAACCTCCTCATATGACAGTCTAGTGTTTAGTTTAGCATTTAACCCAGGTCCCCGGGGAAAGACTTGCTGTTCAAATTGTTGAAGTTGTTGCTGTTAAAACTGTTAAACTGATGAAGTATTGGTTAAATTCCCTAAGCTGTGCATTCATATTGTTAAATGAGTGTTAATTAAGTCCACTTTGTCCCAGGATGGGCTAAAGTTATTTCAACCTTTCCCATAATTGCAAGGGCGGATCCAGCCAAAATTTTAGGGGGGGGGGGCTAATTGTTTTTTTTGGGGGGGGGCTAATTGAGTTTCTTCCGTCAACACAACGGAAAAGGATAAAAAAGCATCTAATTCTTCAGTTTTGTCTAAGTTTTTTTATCTGCTGAAAGGGGGCCTTCAGCCCCCCTTTGCCCCCCTGGATCCGCCCTTGAATTGCTGGATCTAACTCTGTTTCTACTTCTAATTTTGTTTTAAAAATGGTTAAATTATTATGAAAAAAGTTTGATAATGATGATCACTGATTTGTTTTCCTTTCTTTGATTTCAATTCAGCTGGAGCAGTATCATTTGCTGGACTAACGATGTTCTGTAGAGAACGTGTTCCTAAAAAATTTATACCCATGATTACGCTTGGTGAGTTTAATTGTGGAAAAAAAAAAAGAAAAGAAAAAAAACTCTGCTTTAAAAAGAAGTGAAATTATAAAGACTTGAGCATGTGATTGCATGATCCCCCCTCTTATAAATGCCCTTTTCCTCATGCAAGTTTTGCATGTTTACAATATTTCAATATTGAGATTGCAGTTCTACTGTAAGTTCTACTAAGTATATCTTTCACATATCAATAATTTCTACCTTTTTAACATTTTTAAGGGTGTGCCTCAGGTACAGGGTGGATGGTTTCTATTTGGGTTACAAGGTCATGTCGACTGGAACAGCTAAAGATGAACCATGGCTACAACAGTAAGTGCTACACATCCACATTGGCAGCACGGTGTGCACTACCACCATAATTATTATTAATATTATCATCATCGACATTAACAACATTGTCAATGACATTATTTGAAATTATTTCTCCCCTGCCCCTTCAAGCTGATAGAGATATAACRACTGCAGTCAATACTCCATTTTACAGTTCCATTCAGTGACCATGAATAATAGTTCCAAGTCAAGGATGGAGTTTCTGCGCATAGCAAAACTATACATTTTATCGTGCGCGGCAACTCCAACCTCAGCTTGGAACTATTATTCATGGTCACTGAATGGAACTGTMAAATAGGGTATTAGTAGAGTCTGATTACCATATACTTCACTTAAGAGCTGCACCTTCAACTAAAAGGCAAACATTTTGTGCAAGCTTTAGTATAACATAATTAAAAAGAGTACTGCTTAGACACAAGGAAATAGGGTATTTTTATTTTAACAAGCAAAACCTGATTTGCATACAGGCACAAATGATGACTCCATTAGCAAAGAGAAGAAACCACTTATTCACCAGTATCATTCTTCAGATGAAAGCACTCAAAAGTCTTCATCTGTTAACAAATTTGGCGATGAGGGTTTTTTCCAAGAAAAGAAATAGCAGCTGCTTGGAAGGAAGACTGATAGTGACCTAATGCAACTTGCACTACAAGGTTATGCATGGCCAAAAATTCTGATGGCAAACTGTATACAAGTACATGGAGAGGTTATTGTCATTTGGACCCGTAAATAAAATAAAGTAAATAAATAGGATTTAACAGTGGAATTTTATCCACATTGGAATTCTAATTGCAATTTAGAAGTTGAGTTTTTGTGGAGGGAGGAAACTGGAGAAACTGAAGATTAATTAACCCTTGAAGAGGAGAGAACCAATAGCATCTCTACTCAGTCACATACAACACCAAGTCCTGCAGAACTCAATCCCTGGTTGCATTGGTGAGAGGCAATGCTCACTCCTATGCTACCTGAGCTTCCCAACTATTGTGAAGAAACAGAAAATGCATGCACGTGCTGTGTGGATAATTGGGAATTGGCAGAACACGAGAGAAGTGTTAGGAGAATCGACACTTCTCGAGTGTTCTGCCAATCCTCAAGTGCTTCATAACTCCACACAGCACAGCAAGCAAGATTTTTTATTTTTTTTATAGAAATGCTAAGGGTGGGTGCATGATGTGTGCAGGATATATTGCTGCCCTAGAAACGTTTTGCATATTTAATCATGCCTATAATGACATCACACTCATTAATGTATTGGAAATATTAACCTTGATATCTTCAATATGCATCACTCAAATCCTATGAATTTCTTTTACCATTGAAATATTCACTTTATGTAGAATCAATACTAAAAAATATTAAGTTAGGTGTTAAAGGCACTTTAACTATGTTTTTTGATTGGATGAAGTGTTGGGACACAATGGGAAGCCATATCAATATTACAACATGCTATACCCTGTAATACTGTACAGTATTACAGTGTACTGTCTTATACTGTAGGTTTCCTACTGACATACGAAAACTGGTCTATATAGTAATGGGAGAACCTAAGGCTGCGTTCATAATGTATGGCAAAGGAGGGGCAGGTGAAATCTTTAAATGACAAAAAATTCTTAAGACCCCACCTTGAAGTCCCCCACC